ATATTGTTGATATAGCCTGTATATTATCTATACTAAAATTATAAAGAGGCATTGTGTGTTTGTTTCTTCCATTCATTCGTGAATCAATTCATTTGATATCCATATCATGATGGTGCATAAAAAATAACATAGTTTGCCATCTTTGGGAGTCCATCATATTGGATTTAAAATGACGTCGCTCATCTAAACATGCCTTCTCATATAAACGTGTATGCAAAATTTCAGCTCAATCGGTTGAGGAAGCTTTAAAATGCAGTTGCAAGATTTGCCCCAAACAATCACACATTGCAAGTTAAATATAAGCTTGTAAAAGGGTGCTGAACTGTTGTCTTTGTCTACTTATATATACATATTATAAGTAGGGATATCCTGCAACAACGTACATTATGTGTACAAATAATTTTTACTCAGTTTTTTAATTATCACTGTTCAAAAAATACCGCTTTTTAAGGCTAGAACGTATGGATGGATGGACAGCGTAAAACTAGTAACAAATTTACACCCTGGACCCTTTAGATATGGAACCCTTAAATTAAAATTATATATATTTACATATACAGTAAGTAACCTTGATTTATCATTAATTGTCATTACGCTTACATTAAATAATAAGCATATATTTTTACCTTTTATTTTATACTGGCGACTCACCCTCATTTCGCTCGGGTTCGTCCATAGGTACGTTTGAACGGTTAGTATGAAATATAAATCTTTCAAGTTTTTAGCTTGTTTTGTACTATAATATTCATGTATTATACATATAAACCTTCCTCTTGAATCACTCTATCTAATGCTGAAAACAGCAAATCCGTAGAGTAGTTTAAAAGATCTTAGCAAACAGACAACGGAAGCGACTTCATTGTATACTATGTAAAGATTCACTCTTTTATCTATAAAAAGAAACATGTAAAAAATGCAAAGAGTATGAAAAACATATTTAAGAATGTATTTCCTATCATACCGAATATCACGATCGTAGCTGTAGGCTATTTATGGTAGCGGAAGATCAATTTGCATTCTCACCGAAATGGATCGTGAGGCTGTTTCGTCTGCATCCATCTCATTTCCTGCGAATAGTAGACTCGGTAAGGTTCGGATGAGGGTGTATCGGATCGCTACGTCAGCTAGTATATTCTATTTTAGTTTGACCTTTTGTAATTTTTCAACCATCCACATCAAAACAGCTGAGAAAATCTTTTGTGATAATATTTATTTTACTTTGTTTCAAATTTTTCTTTCCATTCTTATAAATTTTAAAAGAAAATGTTATTTTTCTATTGAAGAACAAGAAAATTTTTTAATGCTTGTTAGAAATAATATTTCTAATATCTACATTTGTTAGGAATTAATTTATTGACAAATACATATAGCTTTATAATAACGGATCCTATTTGTTCCATAAATTACAAAATCATATATCATAGTTTTGAAACATAATTCTAAAAGGATAAATATAGTTGATAATGCTTCTTATTCTCATAATATATGTATATTATAAATACATTCTTATAATTTATAATTATATTATAATATATTCAATTTATAGAAATATGTAAAAAATATCCTTTTAGACGAATTCCAAAAAGGAGAAGGTTCTATGTTCGTCTGTATATATTTTTTTGATGTATGTTCACTGGTTATGTTATCAAATTTTAACTTGGCCCATAAATAAATCTATTTTATTAGTGGCTATACATTTATGGTAAACTTGCTCAAAGCGGGTGTGTTAGCGGACGGACGGACAGTCGGTTTTCGGGATGACTGGTTGAGTGCGTTAACTCGTTTGCAAGGGGCACATTTAGCATCAATCATCGTGTTAAGTAGAAATATATTTAGAAATTTACAAGAGAAGTATACGATTTTAATACATTTAATTAAAAATACATTGTAGTGTTAAATATACCTAATAATTAATTAATTATTAATCTAACGTTATTATAAACGATTACGAATATTTTGTATGGGAATATAGAAAAGTGTTGTTTTTAGACTTTTTCCGGCCATTTTTTAAATCTTTCTCTCCGTAAGAACCATCCTCGTACTTCAAGGAATATTCTAAACAAAGAATTAGCGAAATCGGTTCAGCTGCTTTCGAGATTTGCGCTTACCAACACATTTTTATATTATAGATGTTTATAGATATTTGGATCTTGGTCATTTAACTACAAATTATAATGAAATTACGTCCTGAATACCACATGTATATACCACGTATACCAAAATTTTATACTTTTAGGTTATTTTAAGCTTTCGATTTTAATTTACGAGTATCAATACATGTATGATTCTGAACAGTTTACATAACCTATGATATTTCAATATACTAAACGTCTATTAGCGATAGCGATTGGATCATCTTTTTTAAGCCCACTCACTGGCATATTAAAACAAACATTCATTTCGTAATAGAATTGTGATCTGATTTTCAATCTCATTTTCTTGTGAATACAATATTATATTCATTCAAATAATAGATAAGTAATTTTGTTACTGATCAAAAAAATTTCTCGTGAATAAACATCATCGAAAGTTCATTATTTAGAGTAGTAGGTTATGAAAACGTATAAATTAAATTGAATATAACTCAATAAATGTTACACATACAATAACTTTACTGGTATATTTAACATCGGAGAGTCAAGAAACATTTAGAGTATATATAATTAACTTAGACTTCGGTAAATGTTTGTAGAGTGCCAAACTGAGTCTTACAATATGATCGTAGCAAAATTAATAGCAAAATCCAGTTGGCATACATAAGTAATATTATAATGTTAAAATTAATATTGTTATTTTCAAACTCTGCATTAATCAATAAAATTATGACTGTTTCATACTAAAACGGCAGGACGAATTTAGATGAAATTTTGTAGATACTCAATAAGTATGGTTTGAATTAGTAACAGACAGGTTGTTAGGCACCTAGAGCCGTGCTCGAGCGAAGCAAGAATAAGTAGTTAGTAAAATATACTTTATGAAGCAATTATAACATACAATTTTTGAGATTAATAAAACTATTACAATACATATTCAACCGCGTTTAAAACAGAGGAGGTACTCAATTATTACGATGATGTACATCGTGTCCTACTTGCTTAATACTTTTTGAATGGAACATTTTTTTCTATTATTAAATTAGCCTAAATACTTTAGTTAATTATCACTCCTTATAACATCAGCTGCCAGTGAAAGTCCCATCAAAATCAGTCCAGCCATTTCGGAGATTAGCCGGAACAAATGGATAGACAGACATAAAAAAAAAAAAATTGTGTTTTATTTATAATTACCGTACATAATTTCATATGCATTAGGTAAAAAACGTTTATTTCGTCATTATAAACAGACATTTCTAGTTTATTTTTGTGTATAGATGCATAGATAATAGAGCAAATATGTTATTAATATGGTGTGCGATATTAATATGGAAATATTTCATTGTTTTCAATTCATAAAGGAAAATAAATTTTAAATTGAAATGGGAAGCGAAAAACTTTTCAGAGGTATCTCCATTGTTTTAGCAATTTATACAGATTTTTAAAGTGCCAGTCTACGAGTATATTTTGTAAATGCATTCATTGGATATTGCTCATGCTAAATTTAAATTTATCTTTATAACAAGCTTAAGGAAATAAATAGTTTTTATGTGGTTATATCTAGGATCTAGATATAGAAAAATACTTGATAATCTTGATAGTATTCTTTCGGTGAGCAAAAACGCTATGTATATCTACAAGCGAAATGAGCGAAAGAAGCAACAATTTCGCTTAATTCTTATTCCTCTTTCTCATTTTACAGCCCGATTTTCCACCTTCCTCTCAGATATATTTTTTACATCTTCTACTTCGTAGATTCCGAAACAATAGACTGTGGCGGATGACGTACGAACAAACACACAAGCTATCCTAGGAGAACATCAATTTTAAATCACATATTCCGAACCCCTAAAACAAGTACTAATATAATAAATATAGTTAACCGAAGTAACTATTTACGGTCAACATTATTAAATCTTAACAAAAAATGTTATTATAACTTTGCTGAGAATTTGTCTAGTTGATGTTAAAACTTAAAGATATTATTTGGACACTTTGTTGTCCCTTCTAAGTTTTATGCCTTCTCAAAACAATTACTTCGAAGGTTGAACAAGTTACATCAACTAAATAAATACGTAATGCATCCCAACTCCCGGCTTAGAGAGATTAAGTTTCTTGTCTACAAAGCCACCACTAATCGAGGCTTACATTGGAAACTTCAGTTTTCTATCGGTACTAATCGATAAGAGCTCCTAGCAGTTCTTAAGAGATAATGAAAGGTTTAAAGATGACTTACCATGCAATAACTATATAATTGAATCTCACTTATAATGTTCATTTATTATTCACTATGTTAAAACTACATCCATAAGTTTTTAGCAGCTTAAATGCTTTGTAAGCTGTTACTATAGCCAAGAATATTTATGATTTATTTAAGTATTTATTCATTTATATTTGTCGTTGGTTTGGTGACTCTTGATATTATGTTATTAATAAAGATGGAAAACGGCAAAAGGGAAAGTACGTCGCCTTGAGGTCGTTATTCCTTAACAACATAATCATGTTTTAAAGTTTTAATTTGATATTAGTAAATAGATTAATTATATTATTTAACTACGGTAACATTTTAGCATTAGGTATATTATTTTGCTGCTTTATATACGAGTATACTAAAACTTGAGGATTCTTCTATCTCATGAAAGCTAAAATGTTACCTAAATGAATATGAGTCATATTGATTTAGGTCTTACTTTGTTCTTTTATCTTTAATAAAGCTGATACATTTACGGATAAATTGTATGTAATATAAAATATCTATACAAAATAAATATATAAAATGCTTATTCTGTTTGAAACAAACAAAATCTTCAATTTAACAAGATCCTGATCTCAAGATCGTATCGTCTTATAGATAAATGCTCCAAACTATTCAATGCAGCGCAAAGCTCTCGAACGTAGAACTCTTTAGTAGGCTTTCTTTGAACAACTCGCCGACAATACAACATCCCATTCATATTCTGATAGAATTGCCCAGCGGTGCATATCATTGCTCATGAATATCAGATATTTAGATAGCTTGTAGGATCGGATGCCAGTGCAGGGTGTTTTGAATTCATTTCCGGCCATTTGCGGAAACGGAAATAGAGTCGAGTATCGCCGGAATTCCATTCACTTGCAGACGTATTGTAGGTAGAGATATGATAATTACATCTGGCTAGATCCAAGCCTGGTTGAAAGCGTTCAATGAATACTAAAGCTTGTCGTTTATCGTCTGGAAAGAAATGGTAAATCAGAATAATCACTAACTTTAATTTCTTTAATATGAAGTATTATAGGTATTTAAAGTATCAAAACGAATAGCAAAATATAAAAGCTATATTCATTATTGGTAGAAAGGTAATTGGTATTTTTGACAGATTATTGCTGAATCAGGATAACAGGGTGAAAAATATTAATAATTGAACACTTTGTAAGTTAACTAAAAGTATAATTTTATTTCTTTTAAACTTTAAAAATCATATTGAGAGGTGGAAGTATTTTATTATTTATGTAAGACTCGTTGGTGCTAACGTTGAACTTTTAGCCTCTTACTAATAAATTTTGAATTAAATTGACAGTATCCGAAAACACCTTTTTCAAAACAGATTTTTTTTTTTAGTAATCATAATTTAAAATAGCAGCAGTGGTAGTCCATTATTAGCATAGCCAAGTGAACGAGTTCAAGCCCTGGTCTTGAATGAGATTTTCGTCTACGAATCATTTTCAACGCGTATACCAGCGTGCCGTATAGTCCCGCATTAATAGAGGGCCCAAACCCCAAACCAGTGCGACATTAAAATAATGATTCATCAATCAACATCCTCATTTAAATAAAGTAATTCTTGAAATTAATGTTTAAGAAAGCAACTTCGCGACTTATATAACAAGTTAATAAAAGGTAATAATATAAAAATATACAGCATACGTACATTAATAAAAAGGCAGAAAAATATTTCAACAAAAAAGTGTCTCTTATTACCCTTTAAAAATATTGGCTCATTTCAGCGAGTAAGTAGATATTTATGCTCTCAGTTGTGAGTTTTGGGGAACAGAAGTTTCGACAATAAATTACTGCAATAAGCAGCCGGTGATATTATTCATGACATTTGTTAACTTTGTTTTAACAAACTTTCTCTAAAAAATCATAATAAATATATATTTTAAACATTACCGTGTTATTTAGTAATTTAAAGTATATCTTTAAATAATATACTTATAATATATATATATATATATATATATATATATATAACTAATCTAATTCCATTTCTAAACAACTTAAGTATAGAATTACACAATTTGTGATAGAAATGTAATCTTTTATTGAAAACTAAAAACCTTTCAGAATCCGTCTGAAGGTTATTGAAGAAGTCCTTTTTCTTGTTATTTACACTTTAAGATATTAAAAATTTAAGAAAATATAATTTTAAACCGAATGAATCCTAAAACAATGGCTTAGTGATCAATAATTATAATTAATCAGTACAAATTACAATACTTAAACGTCACCTAACGTGCTCGTGGATAGTGCGTACACATTATGATGCTAACGGACGATCTTTCCCACGTTAAAAATAAGACATACCACTTCAATTTAACAAAAATTAATGGATACTGTAACAACATTTTCTGCCCCGCACAACCTCTGTGGAACTAGCTATCGCCGGCGGTCTTTCCTGTCCACCTTCAAGAAGAGAGCGTATTCTTTCCTTAAAGGCTGGCAACGCATCTGCAAGCCCTGCGGTGTTGCAGATGTCCATGGGCGGCGGTGATCACTTCCCATCAGGTCCTCCTGCCCGTTTGCCCCCTTAGTCCCATAAAAAAAACATCGTTTATATGTTTTTATGACTGAATTTGTACAAGAATGTCCTTTTTGTCGAAAATAAGGTATGTTTTCTCAGAGGAGCTTCGTTAGATGGTTTTACGAGGCGACTACATTCTAGTGTAGGCAAGATTTCCCTACGGTAACGCATATTTTATATGCTTTGTAATTTAAGTGGCTACTGCTTTATTATGACGCCTAGAGAGAACTGTTGTACTTGTTTTATTACTAGCACAAATAGTTTACGTGTTTTTTGTTTCTTAATATTATTTGTAGGTGTATATATTACCATTTAATACATATACTTAGAGTTATAAAGATGTGACGTAGGTATAGAGAACAGAGAGCCATGTGCCCAACCTTCTCTACATAACTTTTTTTTGGTCAATTAAAATATATAAATAAGTAAATATGTATGTTAGGACATTAACACACAACACCATCTAGTTCCATGCTAAGCTACGAGGCTTGTGTTATGGATAACAGATAGTTGATACACTACACATATATAACTTTAAATACATACATATCATAAATATAAAACACCCATGACTGGAGTACAAACATTCGTGCTCATCACACAAACGAATGCCCCCAGCGGGACTCGAACCCGCAACCGCTGGCACAGGAAGTAGGGTCACTACAAACTGAGCCAAACGTGTCGTCAATATAACTGTTTTGTTTTGTTTCTTCTATTATTATCATTCTCTTTGGGGTTTCTTAGACTTTTGATTTGGCCTTTATTAGTATTAAAAATACTTGGTCTACAAAAGTCCTCCGAGGTTTCTTCCTATTTTACCTTCCATTCACTTTTCCATAGAACATTTTTTTGGTCATTCTTATATATTCTTATTCTTGGGTATGAAGTAATAGTACGTTTTATTTATGAGCCTCCTATTGATTCCCCGTGTATCTTCGCATTTATTACATTACAGAGGAACGCGGAGCACTGACATGCCTCCTTTTTTGATAATTTCATAAGACTTAAGCCGCTTCAAATACGCATTCTTAGTATAAATTGATGTTTTTAAATAAAACTATCTTTTCGGATTATTTCGCGGATTTATTTTGATTTTTGGTTCCTGACGTTTCGAATGCATTACAGCAATCATGGAAACGTCGGGAACCAAAAATCAAAATAAATCCGCGAAATAATCCGAAAAGATAGTTTTATTTAAAACTAGCACTGCCCGCGGCTCCGCCCGCGTTCAGATGACGAAAAACAAAACTCTTAGGTTTTGCATATTAGTATAGGTACTCTTACATTGCAGTTTTTGTATTTTTTCTCAGAAATGAGATATTTTCCCGCGGTAAAAAGTATCCTATATATTGACCCGGATAACCAGCTATCATCGTACCAAATTTCATCAAAATCTGTCCAGTGGTTTTCTCGTGATGCGGTAACAGACAGACAGACAGACAAAAATTCTAAAAACTATAGATTCGGACTCTGTATCGATAATAATGTCTAGTTCAATTAGATTTTCCAAAAAATATTTAATGTACAGATTCGACTTAGTTACAATTTTATTATATGTGTAGATGTCAAATATTCGCGTAAATCTAAGAAAGTATTATAAATTGATCTATTAGTAGCTTATAAAACTGCCGATCCTATCTTCTAAAAAAAACGTATGCATTTTAAAATCATTGTTAATATACATATTAAATAATGGTAAAGATTATTTTTTAAGATTAAAGATTAAAATAAAGCGTGCTATTTTTAGACTAATAAGATACAAAATATTCTCTTATTAGGAAAAGTATTCATTTTCCATCTCCAAGCTGTTTATTGAATGCACTCTGTTTGTTGTCGTTTTCAGCTTTAGAAAGAAAAGCTTTTATTTAGTACTATATAGTTATTTAGTTTGTTTTTTATTAAGTTTTTCTCTTAACCTTCTTCTTAATGGTCATTAAATTCTGTTTCTGTATGCATGTTTCATAATTTCATGATTATATGTACATATTTAAAATTATTTATACTATAGTAAATGTGTGCGAATCATGTTCCAACATGATTACCTTACGGTGAAGTAAAACATCATGAGGAAACTTGCATGTCTGAGAGAATCTAGCAAGTTTTCGAAAGACATGTGCAGTCCATCAACACACACTTGGCCAGCGTGGTGGACTATTGTCTGAATCCCCCGCGTATCGAAGGGAGGTCCTTGCCCAGTAGTGGGTTGTTAAAAAGGGCTAAATACATACACAGATATGTATATAGTAGGCATACATGGAATCATATGAATGCAAAAATATCAAATTCAAATCTTTAAAATACATAGCCATTGTCATTTAACCCATTTCTTAAAAAAATCTTTACTCTTCACATATGAGTTTTTACTACGTACGCACCCTTCGCCGTGTCTCTGACGTAGAATAATGGACCAGTCGCTTACCAAATGGAAATCCGGATTATGATAAATCACAAACTTTTGAAATTTGCCGCCTATCCTGTTGATTTATTTGCGAAGTATACAAAGCGATATGCGGTGTTTTCTCGCAATCGGTATTTCATCTCTGGAAAAACGGAATCGAATATGAATGATGTACGAATAATGCCTTTGTCGTTTCGGTAATAGAAAAAAAATATTCAGATTATTTTTCAGCATACAGTGCGGACGTTAATCTTAAGATTTTCAATAAGAATAGAAAAAAGGTTTTATGTATGTTATAACAATTAAATTTGTATTTTTTTAGATCATACTACTAATATAAATGTAAAAATTTGTACGTATGACAGTATGTGCGTGTATGTTTGCATGTTTAACAAACATGCAAACTACCCACGTCCATACAACAATCCTAAAGAGGCCGGAAGGATTTGGGTGAAATTTCAAATAGACCATGAACTGGAGTATAGGGTACTGTTAGTAACAAAATTTGCCAAATTATAGCGCTGTCTGTACATAATATTATAATTAAATCAACACCCACGGACGCACCCGAGCGAAGCTTGGCTAAGTCGTTTGACATAAATCCTATAACGTTTTTAAGACTATATAACAAAGAAATTAAATACAAGAATATTTCGATTTTGTGTAGTATCTAATGAAAGTATTGTTGGTATATGTATAATATAAATATCCATAAATTATTATATTAATTAAAATTATAAATGTGAAAGTTGTGAGTATGTATGGCTGTTTGTTACTCTTTAACGCCAGAAAAGCTAAACAGATCTGGATGAAATTTGGTACAAAGATAGATTATAGTCTAGAATAGCACATAGGTAACTTTTTATCCCAGAAAATGTACGGTTCCCGTGTGATAGGTTTGTTTTTGTTTTCCTAGAGGTGAACCCGAG